AGCATGAATTATAACTGTTGATCATGATGTATTTATTTAGTTAAGTTGTACGTTGATTGAACTAATTTTATTATCGTCCAAACACATGTATATTACTAGGCATATATTTGAAACTAAAAACTTAAATATTAACAATTACATAGTTAATATGAATCATGTAAAACAAAAATATTTTCAAAAACTATTAACCTTAATAAATATTCTATGTTAAAAGCACCACCTATAGTAAATAATATTGCTTATTATATCATTGAAAAAAGTTAAAATTTATTACAAAATGCATATGGTTATATACTAAAAATGTTAATTGTATCTTTGGATAAGGTTTTGAGCACGGTTATCCACTAGAGTAGATAGTTTTGATTAAATGCATATGATAGGTATGGATGGTTATTGTTTTCTGTATGAAGAGCACAATTTGAATCGTTTGTGTTTTTTTATTTATAGAAATTAGAAACTTATTAAACTATAATGTAATATGTATTTTGTATTTTTGTGTGTAGCTATATAATATATTATATACATATTTACAAATTAGTACATTTTAATAAAAATAAATATATATTATTAAATATTATACATTAGTATTTTTATTTTTATTTCTCTCAATGTATCCTTTAATTTAAAAAAAAAAATTAATTAGGTATCTACAATCTACACAAAAGGACAATTTTTTTAGTAATATTATGATAGTATTTTTATTTTTTATTAACATTTAATAAAATGGAAAACCACCCAAACACCAATAAATCTTAACCAATGTCTTGCGAATTAAATACAAGAATTACCGAATTAACATTCAGATTCCTCATTCATGAGTTACAGACAAAATACGAATGAGTGGACCAACTTCATGTTTCCCACCCATGTGGCTGATTGCTCTAAAATTTCAAAATATACACAAAAGATGCGTTAAGATTTTTTTACTATAAAAAAGGTTTTCAGACTGTAAAACCAATACATTTATACATTCAGAACCTAAAATGTATTTAAATTTTTAGTGTTACACATACATTATTACATTAATAATAGTGAATAATATATTTCAATTTTTAATATAACATAATGTTATACACAATAAATTACATAAAATGAAAATATAATATTATTATTTATGACACTCGGCATTTTCCGTCACCAGTACATAATATTCTAATAAAACAATATAAAATTAGGAGTTTATGTTTTTATTATTTCGGGTTTCGTCAGCCAAAACTTAGCCCACCGGTGATTTCCGCCTCGGGTGTCAACGTGGCCATTATTACATTAGTCGTGTATATAGCTACTCCGATAAAAAACAATAAATCTTGAATTCAACTGAAAATGCCGTGTATAACTCCGGCTTAATAATGTTACTTTTATATTATAGACATATTACAGAAGAATAAAAAATACGTTTAGAGAAAGCAGAGAGGGCTTAACGGGGACGATTAGTAGGGAATATAGGAGAGAAAAATATGAAACACGGTTGAGAAAGCGACTATTTGGATATGATCTATAGGAGAGTATAGTATTTAATAACTATGCGTAATGGCTCGATAGGGTGGCGAAGGGAGCAGCGTCAAAGCACCAGAAACCAAAATTATTGTAGTATATGTATAATTAAAACCTATAAATATTATTTATAGTCGTTAAATCGATTGTGGAAACAATAATGAAATATATTACGCGACTATTTGAAGTTTTATTTTATAATAGTCACTGTTATTATCGCCCATAATTGCCATAATATTGTCTCATTTTTTTCACAATAATTTGAGAACCGTGAAAATATTGTGAAAGCACAAAGGAGGGATGGAAAAGTTTGAATACCTCCGGTGTACACTATTTAGTACCTACGACCTACCCACTATAATATAATATTATACTCTATACAGATCACTATACAGAATATTATTATATATATTTTATGCCATATGCGAACTGTCCATAAATTATATTAAGTGATGAGAAATCGATTACTCATATATAGTTATATAACGCGACCGCAGTATGTATATATATACTATATATTTATATTGTACTGTATAATGGTAAAATATAAAACGCATAGGAATCCAGCGAAGAATTTCATTATAGATTTTCATCGGCTGGTAGCCTGGTGCAGTTATTCCGTTCGCATTCCTGAAGCGAGCTAAAGAGTATAGACGACGACGACTACGACAAAAGACCGTGGAACTAAAATATTGTTCACCGTCATAAAAATTTCGGCGTCATGAAAATTAAAGGCTATATTAGAGATGATAATAATATAATAATCGAGTCATTTTATTTCTAGAGGATCTCATCTAAATATAAATATATTTCTTTCCGTGTGTAAGTATTCAAACTCCTCTTAAACAGCTGCACCGATTTTGATGGATTTTTTGTGTGTGATTGGTGGATCCTTGAATGGTTTGGATTCACAATTGGACCCGGTTGGACCCAACCCGGGGAGGTGCTCAAAAAGGGATATTGATATTTACGATGGAAATTTTTGTTTATAAATGGATTCTATTAGTTATAGGAGAAATAATTAGTAGAAATTAGAATTTATTTATTATTGATCGCCAATATTGTCATTGGTTATTCAGGCAAATTAAGTACAAGCATGCTTCAAATTGAATTTTCGCACATTGGCCACCAAGATGGTCGAGCTGGGGTTGCACTTACTGCGGCAAGTTACACCCAAAAGAAGTTGAACAATCACATTTTTTTTTAAAGTTGTCATTTTTTTATGGGAAACGAAATGTGCGGGATCAGTTAGTACTAATATATAAATATAATATAGGTATTGTATTAAGGAACGATTACGAAACATTTTTTTGTATGTTTTTGTTTTAAAACGATTAATAAATAATTATTGAACAGATAAACTTGTTTAATAACTTATAAGTTGTTATTATATTAAACACCAATGATAATTATTATAAATTGTGATGTATATTACGTGAACTTTCTAAAATCATTTAAATTAAGTAGGTATTAGGTATTCCAAGTGATTGTCCTCGGTGTTATAGATACATTCTTAAGATGGCGACATAATCAACAATCATTAAATAGGGCTGGGATTTTAATGCCCTAAAAATTATTTAAACATTTAAACTTTGAAGGATTGTAAAACAGTTTTACGGTCGGAACTTATAAATTGTACTTGATTAAATTAAATTAAACTAAGTATATTAGAAGAGAATTTGTTAATTTAAGGGTGAATTTCCGATGTATAACAACAAACGCTCGTAAAAATTTTATTTTATTTTCCAGTAAAGTTTTTTTATGTTAAATGTATGAACACAGGAACACTTAAGGGGAATCTTGTATTACACTTTCGAAGCTTCGATATGAATAAGACAATATTTTATGAATTTCTAACTCCAAATAATTTGATAATTTTCGTGATTTTAATGAATTTTGTCAACATTTTAACTTCATATTATGCTAAAGTGATTGTGAATTCACACTCACATTTTTTTTAATTTTCATAAACTACAACAGTATAACTTATAAGGAACGTTGTATAACATTTTAAAATTGTTTGGCCGACCATAAAATATTTTATCAAGAATAATTTTATAAAAACTAATAAAACTCAAAATTTTCTTATGCCTATAAATACCTCAAAAATAGTTTCAATATTTCGAAAATTGTATGATGTATAAAAAATTCTGATATAAACATTCATTGAAAAATTGCATGTATCTACGGCAATTCTTTTACGATTTACACCAAAAAATTAAATCGATTTTTTCAAACCAATTTGAGTAAAAATTCAAGTATCTTTAATTTTGTTTTTGTTTTTCCTCGTGATATTAAAACTACTGGGAATTTTAAATTTTGACCCCTCCAAATAGATTCACTTTCTCACCGGAAAAGTTACTGAAGCTGAAAATCGAACAATTATTTCGACTAGGTATACAATTTTATTATGGTATAAACAGACACAACAATTAATAAAAAAAAAAACACCCATTGTAAAATCAATAGGTACATTCATCGCTCATAGTCTACAGACTAAAATTATAATAAAACCTACCTACTCTACTCTGTTATAACATTTGTAGATAATAACATTATCTGTGCTTAAGCGTATTGGCGTTTATTCGATATTTTAATTTTCAAGCGAGATATGAGCGTTTTTAATTTTTGAAATTTCACATACACATATCTTACTTGAAAATGAAAATATTGAAAAATCGCCAGACTATATTCTTACCTAAAAGTATGATAATAGGTAAATTCACTCTTATATTAAAACTAACAACACGCTATTGAAACTAGTGAACCGAAATTTGCTATGCCGTGCGTGTGTAAGATGGAGACAACAAAATGCATGGGTAGCGTCCTCTTAAGAGATTTTCACAACGAAAAGGCATGTGTCATGATAATATAATAATATTATACTTTATAATCACTAAAAAAGTTGAATGTTTTATTTTTGTCTTTGGTTTAGATTACCTCTTCACATTCTGACCGGTATAACCATCCCTACAACATTTACTATAAAAAATAATTACCATAATACCATGACAAATTGGACTAATTTGTCATGTTAATTAATAACTATAAACTGTATAAAGAATTATTCATAATACTATGAAGACTGGAAGAGTCACTTTATCTTATCTATCGCGACGGATAGAGCGCGCCACGTTTGACAATAGTAAAAACAGTACTACCACACCGTCCGTAAATCTTCAACCATGGTCCATGTTTCAGTCATAGCAATTTAGGGTTTCACTACATAGTGTACGTACGGCATAATTTGATTTCATTAATAAAGTTGTTTATATTATTATTGTGATAAGAGAATTGTTTGATTAAAGACAAAACGATAGTCAATCGACGGTCTGTGGACTGTGATCGAAATTTGAAACGTTTGAAACGTTAAAAAAAGAATACACGACCGCCTATCATCATATTTAAATTAAGTTCCAAAGTTACACGTTCTACTGCTTTGAAGTCTACATCGTGAGTTTTTACATTTTTTTACATAGTACATAGTTACACAACAAGCGGAAAGAATGTCCGACAAACAGGAACCGAACGGTAAAGGGACTGCTGCTAATATAACCGACCAAGAACGCGATTGGGCTCAGCAAGCATTGGCTGAATATGAACAAAAAAATTACAAATCTTGCCTAGAACATCTGCAGCGAATCGAAGCTTCGAGACCCAACGATCCCAAAGTACTGCTCAACAAGGCCATCGTTGAGTTCTACGAAAACGGCCTGTGCACGTCCGACAAGTTTCAAAAGTCGTTTATAGATGTCTGTAAGCAGGTAGTTTGCTATAATATGACCATTTAATTGGTATAATTTAGCTTGTTTTCTTTTTCAATAATGCCATTGACCATTGTTTACAGGTGGAATTAAATCTAGAACTGTTGGATTCTTTAGAAGATGTTGAAAACTGCATTTACTATTATAACTATGCCGTGTTTTTGTACCACTTGAAACACTACACCAAAGCACTGGCTATGATAAACAAAGTCTACTCATTTATAGAATCTCTAGGTAATTATTTATTGCATGTGATATTTAATTATTGTGCACCTTGCACCTATAGATATTAACTATTGACTTTGTTATAGAGGAAAGTTTGGCTCATAAAGTATGCCTACTGATAGTCCAATTACATATAGACACTAATAAACCTGCAGAAGCACTGAAATTGATTACTTACATTGAAAGTCAATTTGTATCAACAGATAATGCCACTAACATATTGACTGGTAGTGCAGATCAAGGGGGTCCTATACACAATGAAACGGAAAAAACAGAAAAAGTATAGTACCTATATAATATGACTGAGTTTGTAATTAATCAAATTTTTAAAGAACTATGTCTTAATTTTTCCAATTTTGTAGAAAGCTAATTTAGATGCTGCTACTGATGCATTTCGAGTCAGTCTTATCCAGTATCGGGTTAGGTCTCTAATGGAGCTAAATTCATTTGACGAGTGTAGTCAACAATTAAATACAATTAAAGAAAAACAAGTAAAGTATTTGCTTACTATTTGTATTAACAAGTAAAACAGTTTTGTTAACAAATTTTCTTTTATCTTTTTCCAGGACTCTATAACAATGTTTTTAATAGGAAAATTAGAATACCTTCGTGGCAATCATAAAGAAGCACTAGCAATTTTGAAACAAATTCCTGTGAAAGATGACTTTATGTAAGGATATTTCACATTATAGATTTTAATCTAATTATACTGTTTATTAATCATCAAAATGTCTGTTACAGAGAGACTGGAGAGTGTTCTTCAGTTTTAATAAATAATAACGTAGCTTGTTTGTATCATTACGCTAAAAAACCTACCTTGTCATTCACGTCTATTTACAAAGCAATTGTTCAACACCAAAAGAACATCATTGATGTAACAAAACCTAATCAAGGTATGGAGTAATAACCACTTGTTAATCTTTTAAACCCAGGGGTCTCCACCTTATTTTACGGTGGGCCAACATTTTTATGGTTGGCTATTATAAGCTGTTATGAATAACATCAAAAGAAAATAATAATAATTAATTAATTCAATAAATTAAAAACAATGAAAACTAAAGGAGAATTATATATTAAACTAGCTGATCCCGTGCACTTCGTTTCCCTTTAAATGTACCAACTCTATATGACTCAAACTTTGTTCGGTGTATGGTGTTCTTATTATAACTTTTCTGTTGCCTGGAATAAAAATTCTGATTCGCAGCAGTATATTATCAGGTAGGCAGTCTACCTGCGGTAGATCGCCGACTCCGTGCTGTTTGTACGTAACTTTATAATTTAACTCGAAAGTATCAAAGTTATACCAAGTATGTCACTGAACTCCTAAACGGATAGACTAATTGTGAATGCCGAGTCTGTCAACCGATATTTCCTCCTCAGCTACGAAGACGTGGCATTGTTTTATTTACTTAACTTATTTACTTATATGGAAGTATAATACTCTCAATATTTACGTAATTGCGATACATACAATTTAAAAACACAGCGTACAAAAAAATCAATGCATTGAATAAATACACTGATTTTCCTCCAATGGAGGAGACCATTTATAAACAAAAATTTCCACCGTAAATCTCTAAATCCCCATTTGAGCACATCCGCTGGTTGGACCTAGAGGGGTGATTTGTGAATCTAAATTATCCGGGGCGTCTCGCAAACACATACAAAAAAATTCATTCAAATCGGTCCAACCATTTAGGAGGAGTTCAGTCACATCACACGTACAGTAGAATTAATGCGCTTAGAAACACATTCAGCGATTCATTTTTATATTTTATGAAATCAACAAATATGCCCGATTAACCAATAGCAACCAATTTATAAAACACTGTTGTATTTTTTACATCCAGATTTCCTACTTTTCCGGTGAGTTTTCCTAAAATTTCCTTTTGTAAAAACCTTTTCCTGGCAATTACGAACATCTTAAAAAAAAATTTGAGCAAAATCGGACCAGCCGTTCTCGATTGATGAGGTATAACGACATTTTCACCCTCCATTTTTGTATATATATATAGATATATTATTTTCAAAATATTGATTAGCTTAGCGGGCCCATGCAAAAACATTGGAGGGCCATAGGTTGGAGACCCCTGTTATAAATGATAAATTATTTATTCAATGATACATGTTGGATTTTGAGTAGCTGAAGGTAGTCTATCAGGTCAACCACTTCATATAATTGGTGCGAGCATTAAAACTGAGCTTATGTTCAACTTGGGCATAAGCCTGTTACATGCCCGAAAACCCGAAGAAGCATTTGACTGTCTAATTGAAGCTGTACAAACTTATCACATGAACCCTAGGCTATGGTTAAGATTAGCAGAATGTTGTATAATGACTCACAAAAAAGTAAGTAGGCGTGCTTACATTAAACCATAAAGTACAAAAATGCACACTTATATTTTGGTTTTAGAGCAACGACAGAGACTTTGATTTTAAGAAACCTTATATTGAAGGTGTCGTAGGCTCTGGTAAACACAGGAAAATTATTTTGAAGTCACAGTTGTTTCCAGACACGAAATACAGGTTAGTTTAAAAACTAATTGTGTTTCAAAATTGTTGAATTTATTATTTTTCAAACATTACAGTTGTGAAGCAGTTTCTGCATCTATTCCAATGCCGAGTCTCGAATTTGGTTCTTTATGTGTTCGTAATGCAGTTTTATTACTTCACAATGATACTATTGACTGCTCACCTTCTCACACACCCATCAATACACCACACAAAGACTATCTTTTTGGCTGCATTCAATCAGCTGGAGCATATATAGCCTTATGTCTAGGAGATCCAGTGGTTGCATTGAAGTATTCACAAGAGTTACTTAAGTCTGACAAAATCAATAAAGTTCATAAGTAAGTCAGTTTTATGTGATTATTGTCTGTTTAAAATAACATGTAGGTTTTCTACATTACAAACTATAAAACAATTTTGTTTGTAGATTTTTAGGACATTTATATGCAGCCGAAGCACTGATATTGTCAGATAAACCAAATGAAGCCATAGATATGCTAAAAGAGTCCAATGCGTTTGATGATATTGAACCTGAGATACATGAACAGCTTAGAATTGAACAATGGAAACCGGACAAACAGAAATCTGCCAAGGCTGTTCTTTATTATAACTTAGCTGTAGCGTTGACACTTAGGGGCGACCTTGATAAAGCTGGAGAATTACTTAAACAAGTAAGATTAGTATTAAAATGCAATGTTTCCCAATTTCTAATGAAAGTGCACTATACCGAGAAGAGCATATTTTAATATAAATGATTTCTAATAAATGTCTGTCACATGAAATACATGTAAAACAATTCAATCACATAAAATATATACCAACAATGAACATTTTTCTTTTTGAAAACCTGTCATTTTGAATATAATGTATTGAAATATTATTATTCTATGTAATTATTATTTTATTGACAAGTATAATAATATTGTGGCCCTTTCAGATATGGCTGTCGAAAATTGAACATGTTTCAGTACCTGTTCATGTAGTCATATTGGCTCTATACATTCACTTACGATTAGGTAAGAAAATTCAAAACTGTTCAGAGTGAATTCTTCCTGTAAAGTTTGTTCCTAAACATTTTCTTAATATCTGTTTCAGGCCAAAAAGAAATTGCAATCACCTTAATAAAACAAAATTGCCCGCAAGCAAAACGATAGATAAAATAAGATTTTAAATTACTATAAAATTATATTATATTATTAATAATAACAATAATAATAATATACTTGCATGTATTATTATTTATTTTATATATGTAAGTATATGATAGTATAGATATCAATAAAAATTTAAAAATAAATTGTTTACATTACTTAAAAAAAAAAAAAAAAACACAACAACAACAAAATACAATTTTACTCTCTCTCTCTCCTTCTCTCTTTATAATATCATAAAATATTATATTGTACATAAATAAAATATTTTTAAAAATTTAACACTTGAATTCGCATTTTATATGTTTTAATACTATTTCACTTAACGTATTTCCTATACGCAACTGAATTTTACTCCTGCAAACACATCAATGGCAAAATATTATAATCACGGCGACCACTTGATTACTGATTTATTAAAAGTAGGTGTGATTAACATTTAACAAACAAGACGTACCATCATCACTCGAAAAACAATTGTGACAATGCAACTTTTTGTTCCTGACCCGTACATCAGTTCCCATTAAGCCATCGCCCAACTGCACGCAACAAACGCAACACTTGAAGCACTCAATGTGATAAAACAACTGCAGGCTCTCAATGATCATGGCAGCGCCGCGACCAAGCTCCACTGCGCAGTGCGAACACTTCTTCTTGCCACTGACGCTCAACATTGATTCTTGTGGAGCAGCGTCGCTGGTGATGTGATCGTGTCTATAAAAATCGCACCCGACAATCCATCATAAATATAGGAGTTTTCGTGTCGTTTTAGATACAAAAGCAGGCTATATACATTATGCTGGCGCCCTTATGAATTTCTATTTTTTTTTTAATTTATGTATTTTTGAAAATAAATTAAAGAAAGCATTTTTTTGAAAATAAATATTTGATACTATGTTAAATTATAATTTTAAAAGTTATTTTAAGCTTTACATTTTTACAAGGTTTTTCTCAGTAAATCGAAGAATAAACTTTTTTGAGCTCAAAGCTCAAGAAAGGTGGAGGACAAAGGCCCAAATTAAAGACGGAGCAGTTTTAGAAATTTTAAACTAAAAACCGCTGATATTTAAACAAATAATATTTTTTTTTTATCTAACTTCTATAATAACATAATATAAATACTTGAATTTAGCATAAATACACATAAAAAATGTTAATTCGGGAACGGCCTGGTAAAATACATTTGTTCCCAAAAGTATAAAATATGGTAATCTATTTAAGGCACTCAATGTTACAGAAAACACTAATGTTTTAAAAAATATTTATTTTACATAATTGTTAGTTGTTAAGGTTCAGTCAAACAGTAAGCGGTCTGCCCGCTCGGGCACTATAAAATAATACAACCGCCTGCTGTCAGCTGTACCCGTACACCATGGCAGCCCGCTCTCCGTTTGACTGAGCCTTTAAAAAAACATTTTTGGGAAAAATTATTTTTTAAATTTGTTTCTATTTATAATGACAGCATACATTTTTAATTTCATATTTTGAAGTAGAATATTATTCTGAGTATTTTTATCTATAAAAATCAAATTTCAGACAGATCGTTTATTAATTCTTACTTATAAGTAGGTACCTATTTTTTGGGGCCTGTTTTGGCTCGGTGGTTGGCCTCAGTCACTAACGTGTTCTAAGGTCAAGCATCGACCGACGTATCTAGTTCTCGGATGGGTGACCACCCGTGCCGAATCTTCGCCCCACATGCATGTGTTCCTCAACCCCACTACAAAATGCTAATGGCCATAGTTGTCGATGCTTACGATCAATCAAAAAAAAAAAGTACCTACCTATTTAAAATGTAGATTAGTGTAGTGGACCAATATTATTTGGCAGGGTATCCCTAACCACTTCGCTCATATAAATTTTAAATACTTTTAACTCATAAACTACTCCTCCAAAATGCAATACAATGTATAATATAGTATACTAGCATTCCAAATTATATTTTGCTTAAGAATAAGAAATTTTAAATCCATATTGTCATTAAAAATGTAAGAAATTATGATAATTTTTTAAAAAAATTCATTATATTTAGAAAAATCTTATTTTATTAACGAGCTAAAATTATGTAAAAAAATATTTTTTAAAGTCATTAATGGATTCTGAAATAATAATAGTGTCTTACGTCAAATGGATCAACCGGTATTTTCATTAAACGGAAATCACCTGTGAAAATCGTTGAATGACAAACGTTCTTGCACGCGCTGAGTCAGAGTGTTAATGACTGAGTCGGGTAAAGGTTTTTTGTTGTGCGCCGGCGGTGGAGGAGGCGGCAGAGACGGTCTGGTACGCGAACGCGGTTGGTTTGACGCTATTGCGCCGGGTGGCACTTGACGATTACACCGGTCGACCAAACGGCGGTGTTCTGCTTCCTAAAAACAAAGTAATAGTATGTAGCAATATAATATATTCGTTCCAAGATAGTGCGTTTGATGTGGCGAACTTCGGTTCGACTTACTTGAATTAGCCAGTGTTGGTAGTTATATTTTTCCGACTGACTGTTAATCGGCTTTCTCTTGGCGTAGACGCTCTGCTGGGCCGGTCTGGGACAACCGTTCTGAGAAGACCTGAAATCAGAAATACCATATTACTACGATTTCCTACGGATTCAATTCAATAGGTATAAATGAATGATTAGTTTATTAAGTGATTAAGTATACTATTATAAACATTTCATTTCAGGCGTGTGAGCGCAGTATATGATCGAGACGCGCAACAAGTGTGATCACCGAATTGTGATTAATAAATTAACAAACACCCACCGCACTTCAAAAGTATTCGAACGGGACAAATGGACAATGCATGACTATACAGCGCGCTCGTGAGATTATATATTATTTGTTTTTTCTAGTAGGTATCAAGTTATAACTCGTTTTTTGGTTGGATCGTGGCCGCGTTGGCCGTTTGCTTTTTAGTGCAAGGCGAACACCGAACAGAAGTCGTCAAAGGTAGGTTGCGTATTGTGTAAATAATATGTGGATTGTGGAGTACAAAAAGCTGTCAAAAGAGAGAGGAAATGAGTGTTTCTACCGTTTTCTATACGCATCGTGGCTTTATACATGCATATCGTGTTCGGGTCGTTTAACACGTTTAAGTATTAAATTATTAAATCCCTATAAGTAGATGGTATTATATTAATAACAGGTAAAAAACTAAAAACAAAACGAAAATCATACGCACCAAGTGAAATCTTCGGGCTGATGGTGTTGACTGGTGCTGTGAACGGGCTGCTGTTGCTGTAAACGCACAAACGTGGCAACGGTTAATGATTAAGTTAATATATTATCTAAAATCATAGATATAATACATAATAATATACTAGTATAGGTACCACCAGTACACAAGTATGTGCGGTAACCCGAGTGGGCGAGTTACCACTAGGTACTTGAGTTGTTGCCTTTCTTGAATACCTTTTTATTATTTTATTTTTTCCCTGGTAAGACGAACAATAAATTAACGATAAAAACTATTGACTCACAAAATAGAATCTAATTTATAATAATTTATTGTCGAAGGTGATCGGTGGAAACTTGAAAATATTTTCATACTTGTACCATAAATACTTGCATATATATTATATATTTGTCAAGTTGAATTTGAAATTTCTCAAATCTTAATATTACAACGAAGTTACTTACTTAATATCGCTATTAGTTTCCTAGTAAAAATGTTAAATAGGTACATTATTTTAGTTTTTGGGAAAGTATGTATAAATGTTATTGTTTTTTTATTGCAAGACAAAATGGAATACCCAATGGTACACCCCTCGAAACTTTTTTAGTTAATTCATTTAATTTATGAAACTTAATTAATTATAATAATTTACCATGTTTCCCTAACAATATGATAACTGTACCTATAATATTATGTTTGTATTGTTACTATATTATACATATATATGTACACTATAATATTATACATAAATAAATTATTATAATCGTGGGAATAGAAATTTTGTTGATATTTGCTATGTATAATAAATATGATACAAACGATTTATTGATGGATGACGATAATTTATTTAGCACTAAATTGTCAATACGTCTATATAGTCTATACTCAAAACTTAACAGTTTTTACCCGAAATTGGCTAAGCATAAACATTACCGTAATATGATTAGAAATTACATTTACATTTTTTCCAAATACATCTTTTCTTTTGAAACTATGGTGAAACTATATGAACATTATATCAATTACGAGTTACAACACCAATACCAGAACGTAAATTTTCTACGTTGAAAAGATTAAAAAAAACTATTTACAAAGCTCATTAGACTAAGAACGACTTACAGGTCTAGCTATTTGAGTGTACATAGACAAATTGAAATCAATCTAAGATGATTGTGATCGATTATTTCGCATAAGACAAAAAAAGACTGCTAGACTTTATACCATAACAATATTTAATTTAAAATTATATTCATTTCAATGGCGTATACTAAGGTGGACGTGGGGCAGATCCCCTCCCATTGGATTTGGAGTGGATAATCTTCCATATCGTGTTTGATGTGAATTTTAAATAAATTCAAATTATATTCATTGTTCCTTATTGTTAAATATTTTACTGCCTAAGTAAAAAATTTTAAGAGGTTGAGGGATTTTCCATTTCCCCACTCTCATTTAGCTATGAATTTTTTTTTTTTTTTTTGATTCCCCTCCTATCAGAAATCATGTGTACACAACTGATACATTTATCACATATGTATTGCATAAAAACTCTTATTTAGATGTAATATTATAATATACATCTAAATAAGGGTAGTATTACATCTAATAAACTGTAATATTATAATATAATACACATTTTTATGAAATTATATAGGTAATTTAATTTTTATAGGTAAACCCCTCCCAAAAATGTGTTCCAGCTACGGCCTTGGGAATACTTACTAATATTTTAGAGTGATCTGTTATTTGATGACTCATCTGGGTGAGTCGACTCGACCTTGTGTAAGAGAATTCAACCAAAAATTTTTTTTTTTTGGTGAAACTGGGGATGTGTA